CAAATTCAGTGTTAACTAACTGAACATTTTTTCCTTTCTTTTGATATGAGTAATTTTCCACCATGTCAAGAGAAGCAACCAGAACAGCTTCGTTGATGCCCGAGTAGGTGTGACTTCCACCTGTTATATGCAGACGGTTGTAGGAGTGGAAAGAGAAAAAGTCCAAGTGATCAAGAGACATGTCCAGAAACTTGGCAATTATCTTCCAGTTGCTGAAGTTATTTTCGTCTGCTTGTTCTAAGAACATACTTGTATACGTTGGTCCGGCAACTTTCATTCCAAATCTTGACTTCAGCTTATCAGCAACTGCCTTGTGGTAGTTTATATTCGTTTGTGGGTCAATTATATTTGGGAACCAATCAGGTTCATTGATGACTTCAAATATACGGGGAATCCGTCCTCCTATGTAGTCCTTTGCACTCTGAACCATGAGTGACACAAACTCTGCTGCAGCGTCAACGTTGTTTGGGAATGTACCTTGATGATCAGACTTATTCATCCAGTTCGGCCAGCTCAAACCTATAAAGAACAACATATACAGTCATAACAAATGTAACTCAAACATATTCATTTAATGTTAAACTACTTCATGCGTACATGAGTCTGTCTGGAAAGTTGAAGTTGCACACATTTACGACGTTTGGTGAAATAATTGATCATGGGTATTCTTCAGACAGAAATATTAGCAGCTAAACTGGATTCTAGCCAATGGAACATTAATTAAAGGCTTAAGGACTGAACTCAGAGAATATTGGAGCCACAGACACCGCGAATCCTGTTAAGTATATGCTTGGTCTTCAGTTAACTTTCAAACCTTATGCTCCTCTTTTAATATGGTACTTAAACCAATTAAATAACTTATAAAACCTTTCATTTCCCAGACCATGTCGTCGATGACATTCCCATAGCCATTCAGTTGAAACATATACGAATCGAATGTCCTTTTCTGGAGTGCATGGTCCTGGAGATATGTTGGGTCTGGGTAACCATGGTGATGAGGGTTTTGAGGCCACTGAATAAAAAAAGATAAAATAGTATGGATTTGCCAGTTTCTCTATGAAAGAAATAATGTTATTTTTTGCATGGCTTCCATGGTTGGAGTAAATCAACAAAAATTATCCAAGGCCAGCATTGTCAAAACAAACATTTACACTGAATATTTTGAAATGAAATAATACTCGTATAAAACATTAATGAAGGTTACATGATATCTCATTTGAAACTTATGGTGGAATGCATTGTGCTATATGTGACATAGCAGGATTTCCAGTCGTGTCGTAACAACAAATAGTTAGTTTTGTCTATATTCTGAAAAAAGAATATATTTGGATCGTATGAACATGTGCAAGAATAGTTTCCATCCCCTAACCCGTAGTCCTGAGATTCATTATTGGTGTTTAAGTTTTTTTCTTGCACAGCTTTCCTCTGAAATGACCATTGAGAAATACACTATGTATTCCACCAACATTTATGCCCCTCTATACAATGCATCAGTTAATGCAGGCATAGATTGAACTGGTCAAGGTTGACATGGTTTGGCGATTTTTTGTTTTTGAAACTAATGTGCTACGAAGTGGCACCCTGAGTTCTACTGGGATTGAAACCAACATTTGCAGTAACGGAACACATTAAATGATGTAATATGATCTGTACTGTGAGTATATAAAAATACAATAGCTCACCCACTACAACCGCCTCGTTCCCATTTCAAGGTATCACGGCAAACAAGAAGACGTCGTTTTTATCCGTATGTTGTCTTTGAACGAAACAACGACGTTTTGGGACGCTTTGTTTCAATCGCTTTTTCATCCAAATAACGTCGTTATTTGACATCTGAATTGACTACGAGAGAACGATGCTATGAAGCTCCTCCCTTAAGTGTCAATCAAGCATCATCGTTTACCGTTACTTCTATGTTCTCAGCTTTAAACGGATGCGAAAATGATGTACACACAGCTCTATTCTGTTTGAGCAGTTTGCCTGAATGAAGACAAGATAATAACGTTCCTGAGAAGATACGTGTTCGGGACCACATTTCCTGTAACATATTATTTTCTTACCAGCCCTTATTGTGATGCTTTAGTTCGGAATTAAGCACCTCAAGATTATCCTGAATCTCCCATCTCACTGCGGCTCCTTTTCAATTTAAATGTAGTTGTTTGTTCCTCATTAGTCTAGCTCACAACCTTTACAGTTTGCAAACATTAACCTGATTGTGGCGCTTTAAACAGTAAATAGATGAAAGTCCCAAGTCTTGTAAGATGCTGTTTGTGAGATCTATTGTGTGTGTACTATATGTTAAAATAGTGAGGAACACATTACTCTAACGCCTCCAGTGACTTTGTGTAGATGTTAAGCGTCAACACATGTATAAACGGTAACTGATTGTAAGACCCCCGAAAATACTCACTCGCTGATGCAGTTACAAACTGAAATAAAGGACCGCAACATTCATTCATTTTCACAGACCGCCTCAAGGTAGCGTGGTGTCTCTTCAGGCACTCGTCCCAGTCACATTCTCTTCATGTGAGCATGCGTTACGATTATTTTGTGACTACTATAATATAAATCAAAGGTGTTTTATTTAACGAGCATGAATATCATATTCCACCAAGCGGTTGGTTCTGCATGAATTGTTCTTCATAAATACTTTAAATTATGAAATTAAGGAGTCACCAAATTAAGTGTCAACCCCCGGTCTTAAATGCGTGATGACATCAAAGCAAGTAGCCCTCCCTCTGAACTATAACAAATCAATCAGCAAACAATAGACGTTCCATGAAGTCAGCAAGCAAGTTATGCATTATCACAGCATGGTGTCAGTGTAAAACGCTGATTCAAACTGAACAAAAAGGACCGCAACAGATTGCCTGTAGGTAGCGTGGTGTTTCTTCAGGCACTCATCCCTGTCACATTCTCTTCATGTAATCATTCATTACGTCACATACATGCACATGTAGGAATATTTCTAATCAGTAGCACGAATAATGATAACGATGGTCATGTCAGGGCAATCAACATCGGGGAAATCTCTGTTTTAGAATAGCAGATATATACTGTACACAACAATAGCACCTCAGGTGCAGTTTATAGGGAGGATTGTGTTCACTCAGAGTTAAAATAAAGCTGCTAAATATACAAAAACTAGTTGCACAGTACTTTTAACGTGTACCATAAAAAGCAGAAACATTTGCTGTTTTTCAACAGGATAAATTCTCAGACAACATTTGGCAGTGTCTTTTTGCTAAACCAGTTTTTGCAGATTTGCAGTTACATTTACACCATAAGATAGGAAAGTTAATAGTCTACATCTCTGCATAATGTTATAGCCGGAGGGAGATTCAGTGCTGCGTGAGCGCATTTGTCACACAACCTTCACTTTTTCAAATCTTGGAAAAATGTGCGTCAGAAAAACCAGCATTCACCGTGTTAAACCAATTAGCGTTTGGAGGGATACTGGTTGACTTCAAACTCTGATTTTGGATGGTATTTTGCCCCTTTCTGGGGAATCTCCATTTGATGTTTCGGTTTTGTTGGTCAAGGTCGGGGTTGTAGAAACTCTACCTGTTAAAGGTGTAGACTTACTTATTTGGAATCATCTTGAAAAAGAAATTCCAGGTATTTTTCCTTCATGTGTTGTTACAAAGCAAAGTCCTTCTGATAATGATTCCGGCTAAGGTTTGCCAGGCACCTTTATGGATCAATCTCCTGACCTGTCTACATTTTCGATGGAGAGTACTGAAAATTCTGACAGTTTGACCTTTCAGGAACAAGTTCTGGACAGGGAGCAGTTAGTTAAGCTACAGGGAGTAGACAAACTGATCTAAAACAACAAATAGTTATGGGAGATTTCTAAAAGAAACTGCACTCCTGAATAGAGTCCCACTGTTGTTTAGTAACACCAAACACTAGGATTACCAAAAGCAAGAAACATATTAATTATTTACCACACTTATAACTCGACTTAATATGGGAGCGAAATAAGTGTTAAGTCAATGTTATGCTTGAAAATGTACCACAATGTATCAACTGTATTTAGATTGATTTATGTGCAATGTGAAATTCATCGGAGCTTGATTGGATATAGGACAATATGTTAGCAATAAATACCAGCCTTTAAGTGTTCTTAAATTGTTGTGTGCTCTCTGTTTGTTGTGGATGAATGGTGTGTTATGAAATGATGTGATGAAATTTGTGTTTTTTAATTCCACACTTTAAGGTCTGGAACCATTGGCCAATGTGACGTGAGAGGGCAGAGAGTGGTTTGGATATTCGATCTTAAAGACAGATAATTGCAATGACAAACAATAAAAAAACCAATGTTGAGTGTAAGTACCCAAAGTACTGAATCAATAATAGTCTATTCTAATCGCTGTAAGCAGCATCTCATATTTCATAAGATTTACTTTCATTTACTGTTGTAACCAAATAATAGACAACCGATTGTTCGATAGAGTTACATGTGCATTTGATGTGTATCAATATACATGCAATTGTGATTTAGTTTAATTTCTCGACGCATGTCTGAATCCCAGTGACAGGTTACAAATCCTAAAACTGACTTACCAGCAAATCTTGCTGTACCGCGCGGGACAGATATTAGAGAACAGCTTGCCATGGCAGCCACAAATAGGAAACCTGCTACTTCCTTAAGACAGCCGTCGACATCATGTACGTCAGGGGGCTGCCGCAATGTAATAGGCAGTTAACATTTCCGTCTATTTTCGCATTGAAAACTTCGATGTTTTTACGGACACTTTCTGGACGCTCACCAATTAATCAATTTTAATGAATTTGTAGTCGTGTTCTGTCCAATGCCATTATACGAAAACCAACTATGCTACGTGTTTGCTGTGTATGTTGCGATACGACCCCTTGCAATAACAAAAAACTATTAAAGCATGGATACGGTAGTCAAACTAGGATATTGAAATCATATATGGATGATATCATTTCCTAAAATCTTTCTGCATGGAAGATTCTTTTTACTTCATACGTACATTTGCAAAGAGATCTGCTCTCAGGTCTCTGTTCACCCAACGTCCGGGAGCTGTTCCGATAGATTTACAATTTGGAATTAGGGTCCTTGCGGTGAGCCCATTATGCTTGTTCCATCTTTGGGGTTCATAATGCACACGTCCATCCTGGGCGAGCCACTCGTTGTAGATTGTGACGGTTGTGTCAGAGAACACCGCTCCCCAGAGCAACAAGGTGCACAGAACCAGTAGTAACATTCTGCAGTGAAATATGGATACTTCTCTTCAACAACATGGACTTTTATTCAAGGTTGTAATCTACACGTGATCGCAGCACCTGACAGCTTTCGGGGATTTAGTAAATATATTTGTGATAAGCGTAGACAAAGTGAAAGATAAGGAAGTGTGTGTCAGACACAATAGAGGTTCCCTCTACTTTTTCTGCAACAATCATAGGCCAGCCAAGGTTTGTTTCCACTTATACATCATTATGTACATCATCGGGATATTAAACAAAGATAACAACACATGTCATGTCATTAGGGTCGTACTGTGCCATGCTATCGCTGTTCATATTATCAAATATATACTCCTCTTTTTGCCTGGGCCCAACTTGATTAACGACTGCTGCAAAGTTTTTATATAAATTATATTTTAATAAAAGAGGTATTTTCATTCCTGATAATTATCTTGAAAAATGAAGTACATGTATGACAGCAAATCTACGCTTCATTGAATTTCGTACAATTAAAAAGCCAATGAACATAAAAAGATGACAGTGTTCAATTAACATACAACAGTAATAACATCAAGTTGGGACAGGATCACTGGACTCACAACCAAAATATGTTTGACAGGGAGAGTGCATATGAATTCTCACTTTTATATTATAGTAATAATGCAAACATTGTAGTATTGATAATCAGATAATCACAAACATAACAAAGCATCATGACAACATTCATTGTCCAAGTCCTTCATTACAGCATCATTCCATAAGCATGATTGTTGTTCCCTGGTCAATTATCAATCATTTTCCAGCGTAAGGGAGCACAATAGCGATGTACATTTATGAAAATCAGAAATCAGAGTCCATTGTGTTCGATTCCAACCATGTTATAAGCATGTGTTTTAAATCACTGTCAAACATGTTATTAAAATGCTGCGTTAACACAATTTCAGCAGCTGAGGTAGGCGTACATACAGAAACATATCTCCGCATTTTCCCCCCAAAAGCGAATTTAACTTACCATGAAATATTGCTTTGCGTGGCGATTCATATATAAAAAACTCAAATGTATGCTAACAACATTAACTTTAAAATTAAAACAATAAGATGCAGGGTCGTGTCGCAATGACATAAAATGACATACTGACATTGAAATAAATTTAACACGCTTATCAAAACGGCATATTTTACGCTTGTAAATTTTCTCATGTTCATAGCTCGAAACTATGCTATCTATTTCATGGGATTTGAAACGTAGAATGTGTGAATGTTACATTACTTTCTATTATTAGTAATAAAAGAGAAGATAAGAATTTAAACGTCTCATCACAGACCACGCTCTGTGGTCACGCTCTTGCGAGATTTATAGGACGTAACCGGCTGAGATAGTATTTCTTTTGTAAATTTGACAAGAACACGGTTATATAGATACAGATGTAACGTGTTAGCAGTTAAAACGTTTTGTAGATCTCATTACAAAGAATACAGAATATATATTTCACAACAATACATTATTTTATAGAATGGAAACGACAAATTTCCGACTTTACAATAAGCATGTGTTCAATGTAAAATAGCGACGATACCAGCTATTCGCGGAAAGGTTAGCGCATCCTACCCCATTGGCGGTACATGTAACACGCACATGCAAAGGCAAGTGAAATTTTCCTTGTACAAAAACGGGTGGCCCAGTCGTCTAAGGCGCCGCGATTCGCTGTGCAGAGTTGCGTCCCTGGGGCACGCCAGAAACCTATTATTGTGGGTTCGAATCCCGGTTCGCCCCGATTATGTTTCTAGGTTCGTCAGCACCATACCCGTGCTAGTTGGTTTCAATGAAGTGGTAAACGTCTGAGACCTTCATCTCTTCGGGGTTTCCTCCCACATTAAGCTGACACGCCGTGATATGACTGGAATACTGTAAAAAGCGGCGTTAACCACAACTCACTCACTCACTCACTCACTCACTTAACATGTATACCATTAAACGTATTGAAAGCTTAACTAAAATCTCGGGTGTTGTAACCCTGTTCAAACAGATTTTGCAAATTTCGTAGATTCCCGCTCAAAAGTTGAAAGACTTGAGCTGCTGGAAAATTGCTGGACATCTATGGGAGAGTTGACTATTGGAACCCAGGACAAAAGACGAATTGACATGTCTTCAATGTTTTAGGGTCAAGTCAAAAGATGATAGTTTTGGCAGAATTCTTTCTCTTCTTCGAGACACACAGACAAAATGCAGACATTCTACCTGAAGTCGTTACATTGACTTAAATGATTTGAGTGATTGCAGTTGCATGAGGTGGTGTTGGTATTATCCTTTATTTCAGAAGCCATGTTGTTGATCTTGTTTCCAATTGCATTCCCTTGTTGCATTTGAGAACCACATGTTCTCTTTTCCGTCCATGGTCCGATGGATTATGCGGGTCTTGGTTTCAATGTGCTTTTGATCCTGATGCCACACACAAAACAATAACAAGAGTGAATGTATATCCGATATCACAGGGGAAACCAGCAATCACTTATTGTATCATTGTGGGGAACCACGTGACGAACGAACGATTTCACCTCTTGGCCTGGCCACCCAACCACGCCAAAACCTATATAATGGCCACGATGATTATCATGATATATGAATGTTACGCGATAAATCTCAAAGAACAATTAAGAACGAAGCATACTTTATTTCACGAGAAGTCATTGTCCGATCATGACATAATTTCTGGAGATTACACAATGCTTTCGTAAATTGATGACGTCTTAAATTGTACGACAGTATGATTGAGAGGGGTGTGTTTAGAGAGTATAACGTGCAGATTTGTTGGGTGACGTCAAACATTCGACATGGTCAAGTAAACAAAAGAAATTTGAAAATAGATCCAGTGAGACAATGACTGTCTGGCGCATGTTCATAATGTGCTCCTTGACACAATATCGACACTCATATGAAACAATGCCCCCCTGGCACAAATTGATTATCTGTTCTCTGACATGTTATCAACACATATTAGACAATGTCTGTCTGGCACAGATTGCTGATCTCCTCTCTGACACAATGTCGGATCACCTTTGACATAATGCCTGTCTGGCACAGATTGCTGCTCTTCTCTTTGACACAATGTCGGATCACCTTTGAGACAACGAGTGTCTGGCACAGATTGCTGATCTTCTCTCTGACACAATGTCTGATCACCTTTGAGATAATGCCTGTCTGGCACAGATTGCTGCTCTCCTCTCTGACACAATGTCGGATCACCTTTGAGATAATGCCTGTCTGGCACAGATTGCTGCTCTCCTCTCTGACACAATGTCGGATCACCTTTGAGATAATGCCTGTCTGGCACAGATTGCTTCTCTTCTCTCTGACACAATGTCGGATCACCTTTGAGATAATGCCTGTCTGGCACAGATTGCTGCTCTCCTCTCTGACACAATGTCGGATCACCTTTGAGATAATGCCTGTCTGGCACAGGTTGCTGCTCTCCTCTCTGACACAATGTCGGATCACCTTTGAGATAATGCCTGTCTGGCACAGGTTGCTGCTCTCCTCTCTGACACAATGTCTGATCACCTTTCAGATAATGCCTGTCTGGCACAGATTGCTGCTCTTCTCTCTGACACAATGTCGGATCACCTTTGAGACAACGAGTGTCTGGCACAGATTGCTGATCTTCTCTCTGACACAATGTCTGATCACCTTTGAGATAATGCCTGTCTGGCACAGATTGCTGCTCTCCTCTCTGACACAATGTCGGATCACCTTTGAGATAATGCCTGTCTGGCACAGATTGCTGCTCTCCTCTCTGACACAATGTCGGATCACCTTTGACATAATGCCTGTCTGGCACAGGTTGCTGCTCTCCTCTCTGACACAATGTCGGATCACCTTTGAGATAATGCCTGTCTGGCACAGATTGCTGCTCTCCTCTCTGACACAATGTCGGATCACCTTTGAGATAATGCCTGTCTGGCACAGATTGCTGCTCTCCTCTCTGACACAATGTCGGATCACCTTTGAGATAATGCCTGTCTGGCACAGATTGCTGATCTTCTCTCTGACACAATGTCGGATCACCTTTGAGACAACGAGTGTCTGGCACAGGTTGCTGCTCTTCTCTCTGACACAATGTCGGATCACCTTTGAGACAACGAGTGTCTGGCACAGGTTGCTGATCTTCTCTCTGACACAATGTCGGATCACCTTTGAGCAGCGAGTGTCTGGCACAGGTTGCTGCTCTTCTCTCTGACACAATGTCGGATCACCTTTCAGATAATGCCTGTCTGGTACAGATTGCTGCTCTCCTCTCTGACACAATGTCGGATCACCTTTGAGATAATGCCTGTCTGGCACAGATTGCTGATCTTCTCTCTGACACAATTTCGGATCACCTTTGAGATAATGCCTGTCTGGCACAGATTGCTGCTCTTCTCTCTGACACAATGTCGGATCACCTTTGAGATAATGCCTGTCTGGCATTTGATTGCTGCTCTTCTCTCTGACACAATGTCGGATCATCTTTGAGATAATGCCTCTCTGACACTGATTGCTTCTCTTCTCTCTGACACAATGTCGGATCACCTTTGAGATAATGCCTGTCTGGCACAGATTGCTTATAACCGCTCATCTCTTGGACACCGTGATACAACCCTTTCAGGATATGCTTATGCATTCACAGGACACATATTTTCTAATATGCTGTTTTGGTTTGCCTCGTCGTCAGCAATATTTCAGCAATATGGTGGTAATATGTGGGTACTCGTATCTTGACCAACGAAATTTCATCGCAATACTATTTTCATTCCCGTCGTGGTGCTTCTCCTGTATGTGAATATTGTTAAATGCCTCAGTAACCAATATTCAAGGTTAAGCAAAAGGAATCTATAAATAATCGATTCGGGACGAGGTAAACAAATGTCTAAATTCTTGCACTATTGATCCACACCATCATGGCACCATTGCAGGCAATCAGACGAAACTCTTAGTCCGTTGTTTGCGTTGTGCGTTGAGGACCTTTAATGCCCCGGAATCACCAGGCAGTTGTTTATGAAACCAAGACAAGACATCTGAGATGGATAAAATGAA